ATTTACTAGGGGTCCGCTAATCTGTTCCCTACACTCTTTCAAAACTCGAGGGAAAATTTCATCTGGCCCTGGGGATTTTGTCTTCTTTAATTTATTTATCTTCTTAAGAACATCCTCTTTTCTGATAGTGGTATTCTTTAATTTCTCTTCTTCATTTCCCCAAAATATCAGTTTCACCTCTGGAATTTCCTCGTGAATTTCTTCTGTGAAAACCGATAAAATGTAACTGTTTCATGCTTTGCTTATTTCCTCACTGTCATCGATCACTTCCCCTCTCCCTGACTTTCAAGGCCCAACTTTGTCCTTGACCTTTGTCCTATATACCTGGAAAAATCCCTTGGGATTCGCCTTGGATTCTCTCACTATCCTGATTTCGTAGTCTCTCTTTGCTGTCCTTACATTTTTCTTAACATTCCTAGACAGTTCATTATATCTATTTCTGAGCTGCTGCTCCTCCCCTCCCTTTAATTTCTTATAAATTCCTTTCTTTATTCCTATGTCATGTTTAAGTTTTCTGGTCATCCACCTTGGTTCATTCTTATTTGACCTAATTTTTCTGTATGGTATATTTTGTTCTTGTGCTTTACTACATGTTATCTGAGTGAATATATTATTGTCATGATCAATTGTTGTCATCTGTGACCTCACCCTTTCCTACTGGGGACTGACCTGACTGTTCCCAGGTGACCTCACCTAGGTACCTTCTTAACCCCTGATAATCCATGTCGAATGTTTGGGACTCTGACCATATTGTCATTGTTTTTCGTTTCCCAATTTAGGGTGAACCTTATTTCTCTGTGATCACTGTTCCCTAGTTCTTCTCATACTGTGATATATCTGATAATATTTTCTTTATTTGTTAATACTAGGTCTAATATATTGTTATCTCTAGTAGGTTCTGTAATTAGTTGTTTCAAAAAATTATCCTGTACTGCATCTAGGAAGTCTTCAGATTCAGTCACCTACAATATTGTCCCAGTCAATATTCTGGAAGTTGAAATCCCCCATAATGCACAAGTTGTATCTTGCTGCCCTACTCATTTCCTGCCATATGGACTGAGCTGCTTCTTTCCCAAGACTTGGGGGCCTGTAAAGCACTCCCATAATTAGTTTTCTCTTCCTTCCGCAATTTCTACCCATACAGACTCAGCCCCTATTTCACCCTTTATTGAATTATTAACTCGACATTCTAATGTATCCCAGGTTTGAAAGATGAAAATGAGGCGCATTTTCTGGAAATTCCGAGAAAAATTTTCGTGACCAAGAAAATTCCAGGGATGAGGGATATTTTTCCGGGTTCAAGAGATGGTGTATTGGGCAATTTCTGAAACTTCCGAGAATATTTTTCCGTTACCCCTAAAACTCTGGGGATGAGGGATTTTTTCTGGCTTTGAGTTGTCTACACACACACACACATATATGTCCCTCATCACACCATCTGTGAGGGAATTACTACACCAAGTGAGGTCCCTCATAACACCATCTGTGAGGGAGTTACTACACCACGTGAGGCCCCTCATAACACCATCTGTGAGGAGTTACTACACCACGTGAGCCCCTCATAACACCATCTGTGGGGAATTACTACACCACGTGAGGCCCTCATAACATCATCTCGAGGTACTACACCACGCCAGGTCCCTCATAACACCAGAACTACTACACCACGTGAGTTCCTCCTAACACCATCTGGGAGGGAGTTACTACACTCTGGTTGCTGTTCAACACCTACATTAATCTGTATGTTCACTGTATGTTCCTTTACCTTTCTCTAATGAAGGCTTTTGTTAAACCACCAATGTATGTAATAAGTCATTTATGTCCAATGTATATTTTCAGCCTTTGGGCTGCAGAATTTTTTCAATAAACCGTTAATTATTATTATTATTATTATTATATACAGTGGGGTATGCTATAACGAATCTAATTGGTTCTAGAACCTTGTTCGTTATAGCATTCGTTCAATATAGGATTAATCCGTTCCAGGCCCCCAAATACAACCACTTAACACTGAAAATATAATTTAAAATTGTAAAAATTGTAAAAAAGTGCATAAATATGCATCTAAACTCCTAAAATAAAGAATATCATTAATACTTGTAATAAAAAACAATAAATTAGTAAAAAAAAAATTAAATAAATAAATACTGTTCGTTGTAGGAGTTTCGTTCGTTATAACATTCTCAATTTTATAGGTAAAACCGTTCGTTATAGGAATATTCGTAGTAGAATCCGTTCGTTATAGCATACCCCACTGTACAGCCACTCCTTGACTTACGACGGGGTTAGGGACCCAAATCCAGGTCGTAAGTTGAAAATGCAAAGATAATACATAGAAAATCTAAAATGGGTGTCTCCTTTTCTTCTCAGTACCACAAAACTCTCACTTTTAAGCATACCAGCCTTTTTAAAGGGAAATACTAACGAAAATATTTTCAGTACACAGGCGCCAATCACTAACGTCGGGACTCAAAATCGTGACGAAAAATTTTAGTGCGCTGGGGTTGATTAGGTATGTTACAGTTGGTCGTGGTCGGTAGATTAGGTAAGTCGAGTAGGTCATAAGTCGAGGAGTAGCTGTATATACGATACAGGTAAAGGAAATTACTGTCTCTAGAACGAATGGCTCCCTGTCCCAACCGGCAATACTGGCAACTTTAAAACTACCCGCAGACATTCTTTGGTACATCCAGGGTGTCATCAACGAATAATCGAGGACAGCAAAATAAAAATTCGCTAATTATCCAGGCATACTGTAATATCTTCATTAACAAGAATCCCTCAATCCCGAAACTCTCTGATAGCGAATAAAATTTTCCTGAAATCGTCCCCAAAGCCGCAATTTTCTGGAAAATTTCGGCTTTGGGAACGATTTTCTGAGAGGCACATTTTCTGGAAAATTTCAGAGAAAATTTTCCCAATATCTGGAAAATTAAGAGAATGGAGGAGTTATTTTCTGGGTTTGAGATGAAAATCAGGAGCATTTTCCGGAAATTCTGAAACTTTTCCAGTACCCGGAAAATTCCGGGGATCGGGGATGTTTCGGGTTGAAGAGATAATGTAATGTGCAGTTTCTGGAACTTCAAGGAATATTTTTCCGTTCCCCGGAAAAATCCGGGAATGAGGGATATTTTCCAGCTTTGAGAGATGAAATAATGTGCCATTCTGGAACTTCCGAGATCATTTTTCCATTACCGGGAAAATTCTGGGAATGAGGGATATTTTCCTGCTTTGAGAGAGTTGTTTCGTTATCCGGAAATTTCTCATTCCCAGAAGTGCTCTGCACCAATTCTTCCGGCAAATGGAGATATCCCTGTACAGTACATTGTATTTTTTCTATAGTGTTTAATATTTTATATTACCAATGATAATATATACACTGTAAGAGGCTGATCGTACTAGAATATGAGAATGAATACAGATAAATAAAAATGGTGAAAAGGGCAGTACCAGCCTCCCTCCAGCTAATAGTGTCTCCCACATAAGACTTTAAACTCTAGATGTTGTGTGTGCACGTGTGTGTATGTAATGTGGTGAGGGTATTAATTAATGAATAATAAATAAATAATATTGCATTGTTAATGACAGCACAGCAGTTTGATGTATAGTAGCGATGATAGTGGTATGCTACTATTCATCAAATGACTGTCAATGACGATATAATATTGCTTATTTATTATTCATCAATTCACCACATCACAACTACCAAACACCACCTACACACCCCCATATTGAATGACATGAATTTATGCGTGGTTAACTGATGCAAATGTGTGTGACTGCGTGGTGGCGAATTAAAAGATCAGCTGTTGAGGAGCTTATCAAGCGGCAACACTGGTGCACGATACCACTCCTTTCCACTCCATCTTTCTAATTACCCACACCTTTCTTTCTCACTCCATATTTTAAAATGTAATGTCACAATGTTGAAGGATACATCGTTGCTCATTTATACTTACACTGAACACAATCTCTCTAAAAACTACTGTACTTTAGCTTTCATCCTTATTCAAGACATCTTCAGGTCCTGAGACCCACTAATCCCCAACCAACAATGGGTGATCTGACATTGCATCAAGTCAGTAATATGAGACCACTAATTCCCCACCCTACCTCAACCTGACATTGTGTCAGGTCAGTTACACGAGACCCACTAATCCCTCACAGCTCCATGGCAGTGGAAAACACCGGTGTTTGCTCTAACACACAGCTTCAGTCATGGCCGTTCATATAGATTTTTAGTCTTTAAATATATTTATTTAACCAAACCTAGATAAACTATTCTAGATTATTTTAGTAAAATGAAGTTTCTAACTTAATTAAAACTGCTTTTACAGACTCTGGTAGTTAAGACTCTTGGAAAACTTTTCCCAGCGCCCAGAAACATTCTGAGGATGTGGGCTAGCGTCTGTTTGCACAGGATGCATAGTAACCGGAAAAATTTCGAGGGATGGGTGATTTTTTTTTTAAAAGTCATCTGGTTAGCCAGAAATCTCTCATCCACGGAATGGTGGATTTTTTTTCCAGATTGGAGAGATGAAAGTCAGATGCATTTTCATGAAATCCCAAGAAAATTTTCGGTAACTGGAAAATTCCGGGGATGGGGGATTTTTTCCCAGCTTTGACAGATGAAAGAATGCATTGTCATGGAAAATTCTAAGAAAATTATGGTACCCGGAAAAATTCCGGGATTAATTTTTTTCCGGCTTTGAGAGTCGTTTCGTTACCCGGAATCTCTCATTCTCCGAGGTGCTCTGCACCAAGTGTTCCGGCTAACGGAGATATCACTTATCACAGTATATATCCACATTTCCATAAAATAAAGTTATTAGGCAGGTATTTCCTACACTTCTTTCAAACTTCTTATTGATATACACATAAAAACACCTCAGTTTTAATGTGCAGTAATGCCTATGATTATACAATGAAAAAGACATCATGCTAAATCCAAACCTATACTTACACCTCAAAACAGTTCCCAACTTTTATGATTTACAAACCTGATACTGTGGCATGTTAGCAAGGGATTTGGCAGCATTGGGATCAAAATTCAGCACATCATGAATTCCACAGCAATTGACCCTAATTCTCGCCTTGTTGTCTGTGAGGAGGATTTTTGTGGGGTCTAATGTACGGCAAGCAAGACCCTGTGTGTGAATCGTCCGCAAGGCCCCCGTCAGCTGGATGATGTAGTTCCATAAAGTAGATTCAGGCAGAAGACCTGTATTACAGAATAACAGTGTGATAACTTTAATATAAACACAATACAGAATGGAAACTAGAACTACAAGAGTAAGTAGATTACAAGAAGAATACCATAGATAGTATCATGAGAATCTGAGTTTCACTCGAGAAATAAAGCCAAAAACTAAAGAATGAAAGCTGAAAATTAAATCTTTCATGATTCTTCAAACACAAGACAGAAATAATTTAAAAGAAAAGAAATCAACAGAAGCATTTCCTTGACTAAAAGTATTTAAGTGATGGTTATTCAAACACAAATTCTTTTTTTTTCACATCAACAACATCAAAAGGTGATCCTTTTGCAATTTGAGATTAAGTACCAAAAGACATAATGAAATTTAAAAGGATACAGTAGTTTGATTTAAATGAAAGTACATTAGTTTGGTTCCTGAGGCCAAAAAATGCCCATAAACTGTTCCAAAACCAACTTAATAAACATTAATATCATACATAATATTGCAAAGTGCATAAAAAATTATAGTAACACAAAATTATACAAAAATAGTTCTATATTACATAAACAGCTCCTTCCCACCTCATAATTTTGTGCGAACTCAGCCTATACACCAACGAGGCAAGCGCCAGGCTGACTGTGACCACACTATATCAACAAAGAACCAGGAATTTTATACCACAATAACTCATCTGGAGTTGAAAGTGGGATTTTTTTCCATGAACCTAAATAATCTGGGAATACTGCTGAAATTGCATAATGTTGGAGTAAGGAGGCTGGAGGGGAGCTGAAAGCTTGGGAACAAAATAAAATTTATACAAGTATCCCCCATGATACGAACATTTTACAGTAGATTCGAATTCCATAAATTGGCACCACTTCCCTAAAATACAGAAGCACAAAAGCTTACACGAATTTGGGTCCGGCAAAAATTCAAAGTACGTAACCACGGAGTCAGATGGCACTGCCGTCTTTGGGGGGTGATACGGAGACGTATTCTTGTTCACCAATCTTATGTACCACCCTTCCTCCCATAACTCCCACAAGCCTGTCTACTTTCACCCGCCATTCGTTGTGCATGAAGTAATCTCTCTTTATCCGTGTGTATTCGAGCCACCCCTTCATTAGAACTCGTTATGGCATCCAAGCGTTCTGTCGTGTCTTCGGCTACCTGTACTACACCGAAGAAAATTTGAACGGCCGAGATAAAGCTGGAAGTAATTAAGTGTCATGAATACAGTGATGGCCGTACAAAAATTGGGAAATATCTTGGCCCCTCGATTAACGAGCACAATCCGTTCCAGCAGGTTGCTCGTTAACCGAAACCATTGTTTCAATGGGATTTTGGGTAATTGGTTCCAGCTCACCGAAAATTGCCTAAATTCAACAAAAAGGTAGAAAAGTACACTTACTTTGAGGTGTGTTAGAAGGCTCCTGGATGATAATGATGATGGGAATTAGAATGGGGGTGGAGGAGAAGAGAGAAGAGAAGGCATTGGGGAAGAAGAGAAGTCACCCCATGGCGCCATTTCACCCATAAAATTTTAGTTCTCGGTGTAATTCAAGAATACTTTCTTTAAATCAACACTGCACTGCATTAAATATTGTCAATATGTAAAATAAATTTCAAAATGACCAATAATTTGCTTGCAAACACAGAAAAAAGTGTTTAGTTGAAGAGTCTCAAGCAAGATGTTACTTCCACTGAAAAGACAGACTGGCGCCTGTTTGGTGTGTTGCCAGGCTGGATGACGCCCATGAAACTAGTTTCCTTACCTTCAATTATGTTCAATAATTGTTAAAATGACTAAAAAATTTAATATTAAACTTTTAAAATTACTGAATAGTATAAACTTCTTGATATTTACTAAAATAATAAGGAATTTAAGCCCTAAAACCGATTACTGTATTGGCGGACTAATACTACAGCTGGTGGACCGCCAAATGCAAGCGAAAACATGTTGAGGTGGTTCAGTAAAAACTCGTTAATCTAGGGATTGCTCGTTAACCTAAGTAAAGAATCTTATGGAAGGTAACTCGTTAACCGAAATCTCGTTAACCGAGACGCTCGTTAACCGAGGGATCACTGTACTGTGGCTATAATTTATAAGCATGATGAGGACTGTGATGTCCTTGGCAGACAGCAGTGATGAAGTGGACAACCCTCTCATCTTGCTGAGTAAGGCCCTTACTCAGCCCACCCCCCCACTACCCCTTGTGGTGGGTGAACCCAAACTGCCCTCCACCAAGATAATGTACCAAATTTACAGTAGGTGAGGCGTTGGGCTATTCCATGAGTTGCAGTATTGTTATTTTTTAACTCGCAATTTTCTGGATTTTATTTTTTACTGTTACATGCACATGCAATCTTCATCTCAATATGTGCAGGGGAAAAAAATCTGGCTAACGGAGATATTACTTAAATTATTATCTCTGTTAGCCAGAATCCCCTTCAATTGTAACTCTCCAATAACTGTAATTGAAATTTTCTCTGAAAAACGTTCCCAAAGCCAGAATTTTTCCAGAACTTTCCAGGGTGGGGGATTTTATTCCGGATTTGAGATTGGAAAATCAGGGTAATTTTCTGGAAATTCTAAGAAACATTTTCCGGTACCTGGGAAATTCCAGGGATGAGAATTTTTCTGGCCGAGAGAAAATAATTATGCATCAGGATTCGGTTTCTGACTGGTGAGGTGTTGTTTGTACATGGAAGTCTGGAGTGCTATATGGACTGATGATATATATATGTAGCCTCATGTTTCCTAGCTGGATTCTGTAAAATACTACTACAGCCACACAGTTGGCACGGGCAATCCCGATGGAGGTTCACATTATCTAAAAGAAATGAATGAACAGGCTTTGGGTGATATAAAACAAAGCCTAGGAATACATATAATGTCCTTCTTGATGGTAGTGATCCCTATTCACACGTAGAGGTCCAGGGTTCGATTCCCGACTAGTGAGATATATATATATATATATATATATATATATATATATATATATATATATATATATATATATATATATATATATATATATATATATATATATATATATATATATATATATATATATATATATATATATATATATATATATATATAATATATATATATATATATATATATATATATATATATATATATATATAATATAATATAATATAATATGTATATTGGTATTGTATGTATGTATGTATGTATATTGTGTGTGTGTGTTTGTATATATATATATATATATATATATATATATATATATATATATATATATATATATATATATATATATATATATACACACACACATTATTGAAGCAATTTACCTTGCTGTTTCACTTAACTCGATTTCATATACTGTGTTCGCCAAACCGAACTTTCACTTAACGCGTTCATCTACCCATATATTGCCAAGAGAGTGTCTCAGTTCTTTATTTGATTCACCAATTACTCCTTCCCCCTCCTCCATCCCCGAGCGATCCATCTACTAACGTGGTAAGGCACTAACTTTAGTTTCCTAACCTAATCTTTTATATTTTCCTAACTTAATTTTATTTTTCCTAACCCAACTCTCTATATTAGTTGTTTGTTCATACCATCATAGTTAAGATAAAATTTTTACTACAACATAGTTGTGTGTCGTCAAAAGTGGAGTTTGGGGGTCGGGCCTCATTGGAAATAATCCCATGGTTCTGCTGTTCACTTAATCATGTGTGTGTATATATATATATATATATATATATATATATATATATATATATATATATATATATAATATATAATATATATAATTCATATATATATATATATATATATATATATATATATATATATATATATATATATATATATATATATATATATATATATATATATATATATATATATATATATATATATATATATATATATATATATATATATATATATATATATATATATATATATATATATATATATATATATATATGCTGATAACCACAAGGAAAGAAGAAAAAACGAAGTTCCCAAGCGCTTTCGTGTAATTCACAGAGGAGGGTGAGACCAGGTCCACAATGGTCAGGTATTAGGTAATGACCCTACTAATCTTTAAATAGCACACAACGGTTGGTGGTCAGGTGACCCGGCCTTCTCACCTGGTTACAAATCTTCTTAATTACAAAATTGTCCAGCTTGTACATGCCGTTACTCAAATTCATGTTGAATGCTTCGGTATGTTTAATAAGACTAGATTCTATGATGTTCCTACTATCAATTGAATTACATGGTAATATTGAGGAGGCATTATCCCAGTCAATGCAATGCTTGTTATCCCTCAAATGAACAAACAGAGCATTGGATTCCTGGCCTGTCCTAACACTGTATTTGTGTTGTTTAATTCTAGTTGCAAGATCTTTTCCTGTCTGGCCTAAGTAAAACATATTACATTCCTTGCAAGGAACTTTATAAATGCAACCAATTGTGTTGTTCGGGGAGTTCTTGATTAACATTTGTTTAACAGTGCATGAGTTTTTAAATGCCACGTTGACGTTCCAGGCTTTTAGTTGTAAAGGAATGTGTGAGAAATTTTTGTGAAATGGTAATATTAAGATATTCTTATGGTCATGGGTGGGCTTGGGATCAGTTCTATAAAAAGATTTCTCAGTAATGTTCAGGCATTTGTCTATGAAAGATCTAGGGTATTTAAGGTTTGAGCCAATATTATAGATATATTTACATTCCTCATCAATGAATTCCGGGCTGCATATTCTCAAAGCACTACCCCAACAACACAATTGGTTGCATTTATAAAGTTCCTCTCAAACCAGGCAAATTCCTACACTTAAGAATATTTTGACTCTGCCCTATCATAATGAATTTGTCCCGTTAGTTCGGTCCCTCAAGCTACTAAATATTAATGTTGTTTTCAAGTATGACTCAACCATTACCAATATGTTAATAAGAAATAGCCCAAGTTTGAATGTAAATGGAAGTGTTTATTGTATTCCATGTAGTAAATGTAATTGTAATTATGTAGGACAGACAGGAAAAAAACTGCAGCTCAGAATCAAACAACATAAGTACAATATCAGAACAGCATCTGAAAGCAGTGCCTTGTTCAATCATGTTAGGAATAATAATCATCCCATTGCTTGGGAAAAAAGCTTAGAAGTATTTAAATCATCTTGTGTCATAAAAAGACTTCTGGTTGAAACTAGATTGATTAAGGAATTACAATCAATAAACCTTAGTGATGGTCAGTTCAATACCGATATGTTACATAAATTTATTTGTCAGTGGCCCAAGGTTAAAAATGCTTTGAAAACCTCTGATCTAGATGTATAATAGTTATTTAGTGGGTCCCTTATTTTTGACGTGACCTGACTAGTCACGTCACTCCCCTTCTCTTAAGCTCCTCTACGTGTGTGTTGGTGTGGGGATTAGTGGATGACATCATTATGACCTGACCTCATGTTTTTAAGGTCACCCTGTATATTTAAGCCTCTCTCTGTCCATGTAATCCAGTTGCCTCTGAAGATGTCTTGAATAAAGACAAAAGCTAAGGTGCTCCGTTGTTTCCCTTTTCCCGTGTGATTTTATCAAGATATATATATATATATATATATATATATATATATATATATATATATATATATATATATATATATATATATATATATATATATATATATATATATATATATATATATATATATATATATATATATATATATATATATATATATATATATATATATATATATATATATATATATATATATATATAATATATTATATATATTATATATATTATATATATATTATATATATATTATATATATATATTATATATATTATATATTATATATATATTTATATATATACTTCATTTTTAGTCCATATAACACGCGGACTTTGAACATATAATCAACGACCTCACCAGCCAGGAATCGAACCCTCGACCTACTGGGTGGGACTAGGGAACGCTACCGACCAACCTACAAGTGTCCTTGTGGGTGGTGCAGTGTGTCAGGCCACCCAGCCAGAGTGAAAGTGGATGATCTCTCTGTCAGTGGTCCTGGGATTCTTGAACACCAACCGTTCCAGCAGGTTGTTCGTTAACCAGAATCATAAACCAAAACCATTGTTTCCAATGGGTTTTTAGATGATGGTTCAGCTCACCGAAAATTGCCTAAATTCAACAAAAATGGTAGAAAAAAAGTTCACTTACTTTGAGTGTATGTAGAGGCTCCTGGATGATGGCGATGATGGGATTTAGAATGGGGGTGGAGGAGAAGGAAAAAGAGAAGGCATTGGGGTGGAAGAGAAGTCACCCCATGGCGCCATTTCACCCATAAAATTTTAGCTCTCTTGGTGTAATTCAAGATTATTTTCTTTAAATCAACACTGCACTGCATTATATATTGTCAATATGTAAAATATATTTCAAAATGACCAATAATTTGCTTGGAAGCACAGAAAAAAAGCGTTTAGTTGAAGAGTCTCAAGCAAGATGTTACCTCCAGTGAAAACAGAGAGAGACTAACTCCTGTTTGCTGTGTTAAGAGGCTGGATGCCGCGCATTAAACTAGACACTTTACCTTCAATTATGTCCAATAATTGTTAAAATGACTAAAAAATTGAATATTAAACTTTTAAAATTATTGAATAGTATAAACTTCTTGATATTTACTAAAATAGTAAGGAATTTAAGCCCTAGAACCGATTAATGTATTGGTGGACTAATACTAAAGCTGGTTAACCGGCCAGTGCAAGCGAAAACATGTTGAGGTCGGTTCGTAAGAAATTCGTTAACCGAATTTAAGAATCTTATGGGAGGCAGTTCGTTAACCGAGGGACCACTGTATATATATACAGTGATTTACTTGCATATATATATATATATATATATATATATATATATATATATATATATATATATATATATATATATATATATATATATATATATATATATATATATATATATATATATATATATATATATATATATATATATATATATATATATATATATATATATATATATATATATATATACATACATACATACATACATACATATACATACATACAGTGGTCTCTCGGTTAACGAACACAATTCGTTCCAGGAAGTCGTTCGTTAACCGAAAATTTCGTTAACCGAAACCATTGTTTCAATGGGATTTTGGGTAATTGGTTCCAGCTCACCAAAAATTACATACAAAGTGAAAATAAATGCAGTAAAGTACACTTACTTTGAGGTGTGTATGTAGAAGGCTCCTGGTTGATGATGGGAATTAGAAGTGGGGGTGTAGGAGAAGGGAGAAGAGAAAGAAGTGGGGGTGGAAGAGAAATCACCCCATGCTTGATGCCGTCATTTCACCCATAAAATTTTAAGTTCACTAGGTGTAATTCAAGATTATTTTCTTTAAATCACCACTGCACTGCACTATATATTGTCAATATGTAAAATAAATTTCAGAATGACCAATAATTGTACTGCAAAAATGTAAAAATAGTTTATGTTCAAGAGAGCCACAAGCAAGATGTTACCTCCACTGACCAGAGATACAAACTGACGCCTTGCTGGGTGAGTCAAGTGGCTGTTGGGCGTACCAAAAACTAGTTTCCTGTACTGCAATTATGTTAAATAAGTGTTAAAATTAATAAAAAAATTAATATATAACTTAGAAAATTATTGAATAGTACAACCTTCTTGATATTCACTCCAATTTTAAAGAATGTAAGCCCTAGAACCAATTTCTGTATTGGCGGACTAATATTCCAGCTGGTGAGCAAGCGAAAACATGTCGACATGATTTCGTAAAAATTTCGTAAACCGAATTGAAGATTCTTATGGAAGGTAATTCATTAACCGAGGCGTTCGCTAACCGAGGGATCACTGTGTATATGTGTGTGTGTGTGTATATATGTGTATATATATATATATATATATATATATATATATATATATATATATATATATATATATATATATATATATATATATATATATATATATATATATATATATATATATATATATATATATATATATATATGATAACCACAAGGAAAGAAAACGAGAGTTCTCGCTTTAGTGTAATTCCCTGAAGATGTGAATTGCGAAAGCTAAGCACCAGCACCTACAGTGATTTACTTGCATATATGTATGTATATATATATATATATATATATATATATATATATATATATATATATATATATATATATATATATATATATATATATATATATATATATATATATAATATATATATATATATATATATAAGTTAAAAAATATAAAGGAATTAAACATTATGTGTGTGTATGGGTGCAAGCACTGAGGGAGGGAGGGAGCGGTGACGACTGGTATTCCATCACCCAGTTATGCTCCTCATTCACTGCTCTGCTGTCTCCTGCCAAATGGCAATTCAATATTTTTTCTTTTATTTATTATTATTATAATTATTATTAATTAATTCCTCACATTTACTGGTACAGTATACATTATTTTATGTACAAAGAATAAGTTCTTCCACACACAAACCTCCCATGTATCCGGCATGGGGTCGGACATGTTTATGCCATCCTATTAGGTAATGTACCAAATTTAAACAGTATTAAATTTTTTTTCATGATTTAGGTAGTAATTTCATGTGTTAGGCAGTAAATTATAGTTGTGCACTATTTATCATTAGTTTAGTAGATTTTGTTCTTGCTTGTGAACAGATTTGTTGTTTTGTGGGGGATGATATTTGGGTATTTTTGTCATTGGCAAACAAAACCCCATTTTTAACTTTTCCTTTATTTGTGTTATGTAAATTCACCTAACTAATGTTTTTTGGAACCTAACCCATTCGTATCTCAGGGGATACCTGTAATATATTTTCTTTATTTATAATTCAAATTAACCAAATATTTTCATAACCTTTACGGTTTCTATGTAAATAAATAACGTGGCAGCCAGCGCTCAGCCGTGAATTATGAATATTTGACCTTGAAATAAAAAAATGTAGTAGTAATAAAGGTACCTGTGAACTGAAGAACAAAATTTATTGCAACTTCATTATGTATAAAATGCACTCGCATTCAATTTCTCATTCACAGCCTTCCAATTTCAAACAAACACTTATGTTTATCTACAGGAGTCTCACCATTCTAAATTTCTATTTTTTCTGGAATACATGCAGATATTTGCAGAAATATTTAATTTTTTAATACACCTGTTTCAGTTCCTGCCCAAAATCACTAAATCAATATTCTACCGAGTTTTAAGTGCCTCTCTCACATGATATTCAATCAAAATCTTTAAAAAAAAAATAAAAAATAGTCAACACAACTTACTACTGCCTGAATTATGCTGGTGGCTTTTGTGAATACCCCGTGTAGGGGGGTCATGAGAGGTGCTACCCCCATTTCCCCCAGGAGAGCTGGCTATTCCTTCCCATCCATTTGCAGTTAGGGCATTCGCAGAGGAGAAGTGTCGGGCAGCCAGAGTCTCTGCTCCAGCATGATAGTCATAAACGAACACAATGGCTGAAAAATATTCATATATTCTGCGTCTGTAATGAAACAATTAACCCTCACTAGTACTATAACTTACCTGTTATCACTTTAGCTGCTTCAACGTGTAAGGCAGCCAAAATCAAGAGCCACTCAAACCATACAAATCTGAAGGATTATTCATGTAAATTTACATATGCATGGTTACATCTACTAGCACATTATGTCGACTGTACATCATTATTCGAAACATTACTACATTAAAAAAAAAAATCCTTTTTACACATGTTTTTAAAATAATAAATATAACTACAGGAATAGACTGCAAGATCAAACATGTTGGATAAACTTAAAAAAATAGGAAAAAGTTAACAGTTGAGAAAAAATCTACTAATTCATTCTTGTGGGGAATGGAGTATATAATGATAATATACACATGTAAATATAGTGTAAGGTCCCACTTGACAAACCAGATATGTTCCTGAAGGTGAATCATCATTGAATGGGTCCCATTTTTCCCATAGGATACCTGTTAAAAGCCGTGGTGCATTCCAGCACATCTTTTTTATTTAACTAAACTTCATGGTACAGTATAAACTTGCACTTTGCTCAACTTTTAGATGTATACAGCTATGGTCATCTTGCAGGCAAAGTGATTTTTGATACCAAGTGCTTTGCTTTATTTTACACTACTGCACTCAGTACAACCACTTTTGCATTTGTTCTGAGACATCTTAAAGACAGCACACCGGGTTAGAATCCATAATGCTTACCGAGTAATGAGAAAGAGCTGTGGACAGCATGAGTGCACAGGTGATACTGGCCTACACCAAGAAAAAAAAGCACTGCCATATTGTCTAGGCTCACTGGCTTGCAGCTGTATTAGCAGCACCAAGCTGCCAAGTTTCTTTATACCTCCAACAGTGTGTGTTTTGGTTATACGCTCTTGGCTTTGCTTATATTTTGCCTATATTGTAGCCCTACAATATGTCTTCGAAGAGACCAGAGGTGTGAGAGGTGGCACTACAAGTACTGCCACTAATTTTCCTCTTAGGGGCCATGATTGTGGTAAAATTCACCAGTGGAGAAAAACTTTACCAGTTAGAATGCCTGGGTGATGTTCATGAAACCAGTGCAAGAGAGAGTAGCATGAAAGTTGTGTAAAAAGTTATATTTCAGCTCGTAATTTTGGGTAGATGTAGTAATTTATTTATTTATTATTTTTTTGTTACAGGCACACAATCTTTCATATGGAATAAACCAAAAAAGAAAAAATATCATTAGGCCAAAAACAAAGGCAAGAACCATTTAGTTGTGCGAGTTGTGACCTACTGTATGTTATGGTTAGTTTTCAACTCATAATTCGGGTAAATATACATACAGCATACTGTACTAATACAGTGATCCCGTGGTTAACGAGATTTTGGTTAACGAATTACCTTCCATAACATTCTTAACTTCGGTTAACGAGCAATCCATCGATTAACGAGTTTTTAACGAGCACCCCTCCACATGTTTTCGCTTGCATTTGGCGGTCCACCAGCTGCAGTATTAGTCCACCAATACAGTTATCGGTTCTAGGGCTTAAATTCCTTACTATTTTATTATATATCAAGAAGTTAGTACTATTCAATAATTTTAAAAGTTTTATACTAAATTTTTTAGTCACTTTAACAATTATTGAACATAAATGAAGTATAGGAAGCTAGTTTTTAGCACGCCAAACAGCCTGTCAACACACCATACAGGTGCCAGTCTCTGTGACTTTTCAGTGGAGGTAACATCTTGCTTGAGACTCTCTTCAACATAAATGCTATTTTTCTGTGTTTCCAAGCAAATTATTGGTCAAATCGAAATTTATTTTACATATTGACATTATATAATGCAGTGCAGTGTTGATTTAAAGAAAATAATCTTGAATTACACCACGAGAACTAAAATTTTATGGGTGAAATGGCACCATGGGGTGACTTGTCTTCCACCCCAATGCCTTCTGTTCTCTCTTCTCCCTTCTCCACCCCCATTCTAATTCCCATCATACACACCTCAAAGTAAGTGTACTTTACTACCTTTTTTGTTGTTTTTTTGGCAATTTTCGGTGAGCTGGAACCAATTACCGTATATACTCGTGTGTAGTTCGAGTTTTTAAGACCAAATTTTTAGGCAAAAAAATTGGGGGTCGACCTCTACATGCGTAATAGTTTTGTTAGGTTGAACCCGTGCATAACAGGAAGGGCGAGGAGCAACTTTTAGCTTCAGACATGAAAAATATTTACCATTTACTGCCAGTAAACAATGGAAACGTAAAATATGTACCAATTAGTAATGAAAAGTTGTGCAGTTCCTTCAGCAGATGAAGCTCACCAACTTACAATAAGCTAAATTACCTTACAATGTGCTTTCAGTAGTCCATGTTGAAGTTCTTAGCCTAGGCTAACTTATCATATCATATACGGTATCACAGTACTCATTGATCTACAAAAAATACCAGTTACAAAAAACTTTTCGATAGTTCACACTTAATATAATATCCGGTAATCCAATTCAACCTCCTCTTGTTTACAACGATGCATGACGCACCACCAGCTGTTGCGTTATCAGCTTGACAGTACACGTGTTTTTCGAATCTTTTTCAGTTAAAAAACTGTTACATCACATGTATATTTTACCATAACTGTGCCTGAATGAATATACAGCTAGACCCCGACTTACGACTGCTTCGACTTACGACCGTCGCAGTTGTGACCATTTTTTTTTCTCCAAATGACGCACGCATTTTCTATACCGAAACGTTTCAAGTTAATGTAGTCTCCATGTATAATTAGAAAATTATGGGGGCCTCATGTGCATTCAGCTGACTACATTAAAGGTAAGTGCTCAGTCACACTGTATCCATTCCTCATTATTTATTACATTTACTGTACTGTGTTTCATTGTAGATTTTTTATTAAAATTTTTTTTTTTTTTTATCTATGTCGGACTTACGACCTGGATTTGGGTCCCTAACCCCGTCGTAAGTCGGGGTCTAGCTGTATTCTCGGAAATAAATAGCAGTTTTGCTGAAACGTGATGTATTTTAATGTAAAATATGATAAAATACATGACGAAAACAAAAGATTTTACCTAACCTTCCGATGTTCAAGAAAAGTTACTCTATTTTTAATAGTTTTCGGTTAAAATACTGTTATATTACAATGATATTCTATTCATACTGTGCTTGATATAATGCATTCACGGAAATGTAATATTTTTGCTGAAATGACGTACGTATTACAGTGGAAAGTGGGATAAAATCGTGACGAAAACAATGACTTTCGCTTTCTTTCGTTCAAAAGATGTTACCGTAATTGATTTTCAAATGGTTTTCAGTTTAAAAACTGTTGTATTACAATAATACTCTATCCTAATTGACTTGAATAAATACTACGATACCATATTTCTGAATATTTTCATTAAAATCCACCAAAATCATTTTCCTTGTCATCAGCAACAAACAGCTACTCCCAGTCCTCTCCTTGAACAGGGCTAGAGGGTACGTGTTTTTCGAATCGTTTTCAGTTAAAAAACTGTTACATCACATGTATATTTTACCTAAACTGCGCCTGAATGAATATATTCTTGGAAATAAATTGTAGTTTTGCTGAAACGTGACGTATTTCAATGTAAAATAGGATAAAATACATGACGAAAACAGAAGACTTTACCTAAGCTTCCGATGTTCTTGAGATGTTACTCGTTTTTTTAATAGTTTTCGGTTAAAATATTGTTATATTACAATGCTATTCTATTCACTGTGCTTGATCTAATACATTCACGGAAATGTAATATTTTTGCTGAAATGACGTACGTATTACAGTGGAAAGTGGGATAAAATCGTGACGAAAATAATGACTTTCGCTTTCTTTCGTTCAAAAGATGTTAGCGTAATCGCTTTTTGAATGGTTTTCAGTTAAAAAACTATTGTATTACAATAATATTCCTTCCTAATTGACTTGAATAAATATTTGAATGGAGATATACAATATTTTTTTGGAAACTACCCGCATTTCAGTGTAAAGTGTCGTAATAATAAAGGGTAAACAATTTGCCTTCAGCACTCGGTGTTTCAGGCACGGAGAGCCTCAGTTTATAGGACGTAGAGTGTTTTTACTGAAGGTTTTGTTGTTCCATTACCCTCAAAAACTTGGGTCGACTTATAAACGAGGAATGTCATACACTAACGATTTCTTGGTCAAAAAATCAGGGTCGACCTATAAATGAGGGGGGATTACAGACGAGTATATAAGGTACCCAAAAACCCATTGAAACAATGGTTTCGGTTAACAAGCAACCTTCTGGAACGAATTGTGCTCGTTAACCGAGGGACCACTGTACTGAAAAATTTTCTTTTTTCTCTTTTTTTTGGGGGGCTGTTATATGCACACAATCATTTATACAAAATGTGAAGAAAAAAAATAATAATAATCACAAGGTCAAAAACACAGGGAATACTATTTCGTACGTGTGTGGAAGTTACCACACAGATCCGGGGAGGGGGAAGTGGCTGAGGGTTTTCAGCTGTTCTGTCTCAGTTACAACTCACTTCCCATTCATATACACACACATGCTCTTCATTTTCTTATTACAGTGGTCCCTCGGTTAAAAAACACAATTCGTTCCAGAAGGTCGTTCGTTAACCGAAACCATTGTTTCAATGGAATTTTGGGTAATTGGTTCCAGCTCACCAAAAATTACATACAAAGTAAAAAAAAATGCAGTAAAGTACACTTACTTTGAGGTGTGTATGTAGAAGGCTCCTGGTTGATGATGGGAATTAGAAGTGGGGGTGGAGGAGAAGGGAGAAGAGAAGGAAGTGGGGGTGGAAGAGAAATCACCCCATGCTTGATGCCATCATTTCACCCATAAAATTTTAAGTTCACTAGGTGTAATTCAAGATTATTTTCTTTAAATCAACACTGCACTGCACTATATATTGTCAATATGATAAATGAATTTCAGAATGACCAATAATTGTACTGTAAAAACGTAAAAATACTCTGTGTTCAAGAGACCCACAAGCAAGATGTTTCCTCCACTGAACAGAGATACAAACTGAGATCTTTGTGGGCGAGTGAAGTGGCTGATGGGCGCACCAAAAACTAGTTCCCAGTACTGCAATTATGTTAAATAAGTGATAAAATGACTAAAAAATTTAATATAAAACTTGGAAAATTATTGAATAGTACAACCTTCTTGATATTCACTCCAATGTTAACGAATGTAAGCCCTAGAACCAATTTCTGTATTGGCGGACTAATCTTCCAGCTGGTGAGCAAGCCAAAGCATGTCGAAATATTTTTGTAAGAATTTAGTTAACCGAAATTTTGTTCGTTAACCGAAATGAAGATTCTTATGGAAGGTAATTCGTTAACCGAAATTTCTATAACCGAGGCGTTTGTTAACCGAGGGACCACTGTATACAAGTTTTATATTATACAGTATTTTCTTCATTTCTAAGCCACATTAGAATATGGTATTGTATTTTTTTTCCCAAACAAGCACGGACAAGTGATAAACACGCTGAGTTAGTGAGAAAAGCAGGGTGGGTCAGGTTCCAAGGGTGCCAGACTAGTGTGTTTCAACGTGTACATATCAGATCATTCAATTAATTTTCATGCTAAATTAAGTACAAGTTGTTCAGTGAATTACCCTGCCCCAAAATACTACCCACTGTACAGTATTACTTTACAATATAGTGAATTCTTCTTCGAAGGGAAAATTTTCAGCAGGACCTTACTGTGTGTGTGTGTGTATATGTATGTATGTACTGTACTGTACTGTACACACACACACATACATACATACATACACACATACATACACACATATATATATATATATATATATATATATATATATATATATATATATATATATATATATATATATATATATAGAGAGAGCTGGCATTCAAAATTAAAGAAAATGAATACCCTACAATTGTCATTGAAGGCCTTGGTGGTGAAGACTTCTCTCAACTGAGTCACACTGGAATGTTGCAATTTTTTCCACAGATCTACTAGCTGAGTGACCTTTACGTTGCTTAGCCGGTATCCATGTATACGATAAAGGCAGTAATGTAGACCAGTCTTGATGTTGGTTGCCTGAAGAGATATGGTAAATAAATTAGTGCTAACTGCTAAAAAGGTATTTATACAAGCACTGTGAATTGTGTTAGTAAGACTATCAATAACTGAAATGTTGTGGAATATGCAATTATAGATCCAAAATGTGTTTACGACTGCCGATAGAAGGATTGTGTACAGTCCACTGCAAGATATTGATAAAAATAAATTAAGAATACATGAGTATTAATTGGTGACTGAGTGATGATATCATATCACTAGTTGGTGGAAGAAAAGGATATGCATACACACATTGGTTTACATTCATTTGATGCCATTCTTTCCAAAATGGAAAATATAATCAGTTACAGCAAAATATATATATATATATATATATATATATATATATATATATATATATATATATATATATATATATATATATATATATATATATATATATATATATATATATATATATATATATATATATATATATATATATATACATATACAGTGAACCCTCACTTTACGCGGTTAATTCAACCCACGGCGGCCCGCGTAAAGTGAGAAACACGTAAAGTGAACAACATAACATATGGGATTAATTGAAATAAAGACCGGGCCGACCCCCAAACTTCACTTTTTCAGACACAATACCTACGTTGTAGTAAAAATAACTTCTTAATTTTATGATGGTATGCACACACAATTAATAATTAAGAGAAATATCAATAATATTAGGTTTTTTAACACTTACATTAGTAGAAAAGATGGCTGGGCACACGGGGATGGGGGTTGGTTCCGAGGCAGAGGGCAGATTATTGGCCCTCACCTGTATCACTATCCACCACAGAGGCTTGCAGGGCCTCTTTGTCAAACCCCTCAAAGTCCATATAAGTCCATATCCTCACTATCATTATCACTATCACTGACTTGGGCCGGCTGTGGTGGGTGACGGGTGAAGAACTCGGTAATGTTTTGATGACTGGGCGACCTTGTGCGCACCCTGCTCGCGCCGCTCTCCGCGTAAAAGGGTACACACACCGCGGAAAGTGAGCATTCCGTGTTTGGCAGAATGCAGCGTCGCGTGGAAAGCAGCATGGTAGGACCCGGCGTAAAGCGAGGATATGGATATATATATATATATATATATATATATATATATATATATATATATATAAAATATATATATATATATATATATATATAATATATATATAATATATATATATAATATATATATATATATATATATATATATAATATATATATATATATATATATATATATATATATATATATATATATATATATATATATATATATATATATATATATATATATATATATATATATATATATATATATATATATATATATATATATACAATTTACCCGCTTAGCCTTTCATAGCAGCGTTTACATATATGATGCCTTGTTTTATACTTATGACATTTTTTCATCATATACGCGGTGAGTGTCCGGCTCAAGAGCTATTTTTAGATTCGCACCACCCCCCACCCGCCACCCTGCCTGTTTTAGCTCATAAAATTCATACAAATTACCCAGCCAGAATATAATTTACATTGCTGGAATTCTTATAATTTGGTGATCATTTTGAATATAAACAACATATATTTTGCATTAAACATACAATTTTTAGATAAAAATATTTCTCTAGGTAACTATGTTATCTTTTGTCCAAAATATATGACATTTATATTCAAAATATTCCTGGTCTTACAAGGAATCCAGCAATGTCAATTATATTATCCTAACTTTAGTTTGAGGTATTATTTATTAAAATTTAGTGGTTATCCCACACATCTCCTTGGGACGGTTGGTGGGGGGTGGGGGGAGGGAGGGACCGACCGACCGCCCATCTGTTACCCTGTGAAGAATTATTTTTTTTTTTATTAACTGAAGATATTTGTTTTAACTCATAAAATTCATACAAATTACCCGGTCAGAATATAATTTACATTGCTGGAATTCTTATAATTTGGTGATCATTTTGAATATAAACAACATATATTTTGCATTAAACATACAATTTTTAGATAAAAATTGTTCTCTAGGTAACTGTTATCTTTTGTCCAAAATATATGACATTTATATTCAAAATATTCCTGGTCTTACAAGGAATCCAGCAATGTCAATTATATTATCCTAACTTTAATCTGAGGTATTATTTAATACTAAATGTTATAAACTCTGGAAGGGAGGATTGGTGGGGGGTGGGGGGAGGGTTGGGACTGACCGCGCGGTTGGAAGAGGGGGGAAGGCAAGGTGGGGTACTTTGATTGACAGATAGTGTCGAAGAATATTTTTTTTTTTTATTAACTGAAGATATTTGTTTTAGCTCATAAAATTCATACAAATTATCCGGCCAGAATATAATTTACATTGCTGGAATTCTTACAATTTGCTGATCATTTTGAATATAAACATCATAGATTTTGCATTAGACATACAAATTTTTGATGTAAAGATTTATTCTGAGTAAATATGTTATCTTTTGTGAAAAATATATGACATTTATATTCAAAATATTCCTGGTCTTACAAGGAATCCAGCAATGTCAATTATATTATCCTAACTTTAGTTTGAGGAATTATTTATTACTATACCTGGTTTTCCCCCAAAAATTTCTCAGAGGGAAGAGCCAGTGAGTGTAGTGTGAGAAGAGGGGGAGGGAGTTGAGTCCATTATTTGAATGGACATTAACTTGGCGACTGTATTTCTCTATTTCTCTTAAGTATTAATTGTGTGCATGTACCATCATAAAATTAAGATGTTATTTTTACTACAACATAGTTATTTGTCGTCAAAAAGTGGAGTTTGGGGGTCGGGCTGGGTTCTATTGGAATTAATCCCATATGTTCTGTTATTCACTTAACGCGGTTTTCACTTAACGCGGGACCCTCTGGGTTCAATTGACCGCGTTAAGTGGGGTACAACTGTATATATATATATATATATATATATATATATATATATATATATATATATATATATATATATATATATATATATATATATATATATATATATATATATATATATATATATATATATATATATACGCACAGTATTACCCCGCTTTACACAGTTTCACTTTCCGCGATTTCTCATTTACGCGGTACCTTGCCAGAACCGGACTTTCACTTTCCGCGGTGCATCTACTCATATACGCGGTGAAGTATAATTTTTTTTATTTTTATTTTATTTAGCTCATAAATTTCATACAAATTACCCAGCCAGAATATAATTTACATTGCTGGAATACTTACAATATGATGATCATTTTGAATATAAACATCATGGATTTTGCATTAGACTTACAAATTTTAGATCTAATGTAATAATTTGGTTTACACAAAGCAAATATTTTATCCTTTGTGCAGAATATATGAAGTTTACATTCAAAATATTCCCTGACCTGCAAGGAATCCAGCAATGTCAATTATATTATCCTAACTTTAGTCTGAGTTATTATTTATTACTAAAAATGTAAATATACTATTTTCTCCCAATCCCTTTTCTGGTAGGGAGGGAGGGAGGGAGGGACCGACCCAGCTAGGGCGGAGTATTTTGATTGACAGATAGTGTCCTTGAAGAATATTTCTTTGTTTATTTACTGAAGATATTTGTTTTAGCTCATAAATTTCATACAAATTACCCGGCCAGAATATAATTTACATTGCTGGAATTCTTACAATATGATGATCATTTTGAATATAAACATCATGGATTTTGCATTAGACATACAAATTACAAATTTTAGATCTAATGTAATAATTTGGTTTACACAAAGCAAATATTTTATCTTTTGTGCAAAATGAAGTTTACATTCAAAATATTCCCTGACCTGCAAGGAATCCAGAAATGTCAATTATATTATCCTAACTTTAGTCTGAGGTATTATTTATTACTAAAAATATAAATATACTGTTTTCTCCCAAACATTTCTCTGGTAGGGAGGGAAGGTGGGGGGTAGGGAGGGACCGACCGACCCAGCTGGCGTGGTGAGAAGAGGGGGGGAGGCGAGGTGGGGTAGAATCGCGTAAAATGAAACTGAGGAGGTGGAGTATTTTGATTGACAGATAGTGTCCTTGAAGAATATTTCTTTGTTTATTTACTGAAGATATTTGTTTTAGCTCATAAAATTCATACAAATTACCCAGCCAGAATATAATTTACATTGCTGGAATTCTTACAATATGACAATCATTTTGAGTATAAACATCATGGATTTTGCATTAGACATACAAATTTTAGATCTAAAGTAATAATTTGGTTTACACAAAGCAAATATTTTATCTTTTGTGCAAAATATATGAAGTTTACATTCAAAATATTCCCTGACCTGCAAGGAATCCAGAAATGTCAATTATATTATCCTAACTTTAGTCTGAGGTATTATTTATTACTAAATGTTAAAATCTAGAGTTTTGACCCAAACATTAATCAGAGAGGTAGGAGCTAGTGAGCTGGGAAGAGTGGGGGGATTTGAGTCCATTATTTGAATGGACATTAACCTGGCGACTGTATTTCTCTTAAATATTAATTGTGTGAGCATACCATCATAAAATTAAGATGTTATTTTTACTACAACGTAGGTATTATGTCGAAAAAAGTGGAGTTTGGGTGTTGGCCCAGTCTCTATTTCAATTAATCCCATATGTTCTGTTATTTCATTTACGCATTTCTCGTTTTACAAAGACCTCCACGGGTTCAATTGACCGCGTGTATGTATGTATGTATGTATGTATGTATGTATGTATGTATGTATGTATGTATGTATGTATATATATATATATATATATATATATATATATATATATATATATATATATATATATATATATATATATATATATATATATATATATATATATATATATATATATATATATATATATATATATATATATATATATATATATATATATATATATATATATATATATATATATATATATATATATCCTTTAGGAAAAAAAAAAAAAAAATTCGCGCCATTTTCGATATTC